GGCATTTTAAGATATCCAGCTGCACTGCAGAGATAAATCAGAAATATTTCCACATGTTCATGGAACCTGACAAAGCAACCTACTCAACTTCACCTAATTCATGTCGAGTGGGACAGGGAACCACTTCTGATTGTCAAAGAGTGAAAAGGCTGTTATGTCAGCGTCAGAAATTGTTCCAGCCCCTGCTTGATCAGGTTTGTTTTCCGCTTCCCACCGGGGTGAGGCGCCCACGGAGTGAGGCGCCCACGGAGTGAGGTGCCCACAGAAAGAACTTGAAGGGACCCACTCTGCATCAGACGCAGAATTCCCCTGGCGCAGAGTATGGAGATTGGGGCGAGGGGAGGGGTTCCTGAGATGGGGGGTTCCTGAGACAGGGGGTCCTGAGATGCGGGCGTTTTCAGAAGGGGGATCCTGAGATCCAGGGGTCCTGAGATGCGGGGGTGTATGTTTTTGAGCATCACTCAAGGGAGACCAGGAGCTGAGGGCCACACGCTGGCAGGCCTGAAGCGTGAGTCCCTACAAAGCCGCTCACAGATGCTTCTCTGAGGGACCGGGAGCTGGGCCAGGGCCGACAGCCTCTGGGGGTCCTGTTCTCACCACACCGGTGCCTCCGTCCCCGACAGTGACGGGACCATAGGGATGTTCCTGAGGCAGAAGGTGGCTTCTCTGAACCACAGGCCCACGAGTGATCCAGGTGACAGCTTGTCACCCACCCTGGGGATTTGCAAAGGCAAAAACCTGCGTCAGTGGGACTCTTCTGGAATCATCACTTGCCTCTTTCCTGGAACTCGGTGATTACAGGGACACAGAGCACATGGGGGATGAATATTGTGCTAGGAAAAGTGAGAGAAAGGCAACAGAACAGGCGGCCAGGGCAGCGGGCGGGTAACGCGGGAGTCAGAGCATTCACAGAAGAAAGAGAATTCTTTTCTATTCTGGAAGAGGTGCAGCTTGGCTGAGCGGCCCCTTTCCGTCGTACCTGGGGGAGTGAGCGGGGAGCAAGCGCGAAGCTGAGGCACAGCAGCCCCGTCCCCGCCCCCAGCATGGTGCGCTCCCGCACAGCCTTGCAGCGCTGCGTGGCCTGGGGCACGTTCCAGCACCTCTCTGGGCCTCGGTTTCCTCCTAGGGTTGCCATGAGGTTCACGGGAGATAAAGGCTGAGAAGGGCTTAGCCCATTGCCTGGCCTACAGCAGGTGCTCAATAAATCAGAATAATCAGCATCACTAGAAACAGAGGGCGTCCCAAAATAACATTCCCTGGGCCCCTGCCTGCCACAGTGGAACGCTTTAATTTCTTGAGGAGCCTCCGTACTGTTTTCCATAGTGGCTGTATCAATTTACATTCCCCCCAGCAATGCACGAGGGTCCCAATGTCCAGTTTCCCCACATGCTCACCATGCTTATTTATTTTTGATTGTAGCAGTCCTAGTGGGTATGAGACGGTATCTCATTCTAGTTTTGATTTGCATTTCCCTGATGATTACGTGTGCTTATTGGTCATTTGTATGTCTTCTTAGGTGAAAGGTCTGTTTAGGTGCTTTGCCCATTTTCAAAATAGGTTGTTTGGGATTTTTGTTGTTGTTGAATTTTAGGAGTTCTCTATGAATCCTGGATATTAGTCCCTTATCAGATAACACCATTTGCAAGTATTCAACCCCATTCTGTGGGTTTCTCTGTTACTCTGTTGATACTGTCTTTGCACAAGTCCAACTTGTCTATTTTTTTTTTTGTTGCCTGTGTCTTTGGTGTCATATCCAAAAATAAGTAAATAAAATAATAATAATAATAATAATAATAGCTACATCCAATGCAGTGAAGTTTTACCCTATGTTTTCTTCTAAGAGTTTTATTGTTTTAGGTCTTACATTTAGGTCTTTGATTCATTTTGAGATAATTTGTGTAGATTGTGATAAGTAAGGATTCAACTTCCTTCTTTTAATGTGAATAACCAGTTTATCCACATTAACTATTTAAATGGTTAACCAGTTTTCTAGGTTCTCCATTCCATTTGTACTCATATGTCTACCCTTATGCCATTACCACACTTTTGATAACCGGAGCTTCGTTATAAGTTTTAAAACCGGGAAGTGTGAGTCCCCCAGCTTTCTTCTTTTTCAAGACCGTTTTAGCTACTTGAGGTCCCTCGAGATTTCATATGAATTTTAAGATGTGATTTGTTTCTATTTCTGTAAAGCACATCATGGGGACTTTGAAAGGGATTGCGTTAAATCTGTAGATTGCTTTGGATAATGTTGACATCTTCACAATATTAAGGCTTCTAATCCATGAACATGGTGTGTGGTTTTTTTTTTTCATTTATTTATGTTTTCATGCCTTCTCTAATTTCTTTCAGCAATGTTTTGTAGTTTATTGTACAAGTCTTTCACCTCTTTGGTTAAGCTAATTCTGAAGTGTTTTTTTTTTAAATGCTTTGTAAGTAGAATTTTTTTCATATGTGGTTTTTATTATGCTGAGGTAGGTTCCTTCTATTCCTGGTTTGTTGAGTGTTTTTGTCATGAAAGGGTGTTGAATTTTGTTAATTTCATTTTTTTAAATTCCCATCTCCCCACCTCTTCTCCTTTGGCAACCATCAGCTAGCTCTCTGTATCTGTGGATCTGTTGCTGGTTTTTTGGTGTTTTTTTTTCTTTTGTTTAGATTCCATGTTAGTGTAATTGTACAATATTTGTCTTTCTCTGTCTGACTTATTTCACTCAGCACAGCACCCCCTACGTCCATCCATATTGTCGCAAATGGTGAGATTTCATTCTTTTTTATGGCTGTATGTTATATGTATGTACCACTTCTTTATCCATTCGCCTGCTGATGGACATTGTTTTCCTTGTGATTTGGCATGAGGCTTACATTTAACATCCTAAAGTTATTGTGAATAATAACTTGAATTGGTGTCAGCGTAACTTGGGTCACATGCAGAAAGCTCGGCTCTTCTCCGCTCCATCCTTCTCCCCACCCTTCACTTGCTGTTATGCAGTTACACTGTGTGCGCCAAAGCGTAGACTAATACTTCCTTTAACTGCACTAAGCTCTTGAGTTACGTAGAAAACAATGTGGAGTTCCAAACCAATACCACTGGCTTGTAGACGAGCTTGTTAGTTGGGCTAGACTACAGCTGGGTGTTTGCCAAGCGCCTGAGAGGAGGGGCAAGGCAACCGAGGACGTTGGAGGGAGTGAGGACCGTCTTGGCCACCAACCCGGTGCTGGGACACAGGTGCCTGGCGAGAAAGGAGGACACAGGTGGCGTTTAAATGACAGACTGGAGGTCATGAAGAGTTTGATGAGTTGTTGCTGAGAGGACAGAGTGGATCAGAGCAGAAAAGCTGGTCAAGGTTTCGGAGTTGGTGCAGTTGTGCTGCCCTGGCCTGGAAGAGGCACATGGCGCAGGGGAGAAGCCTGGGGGGGGGGGGCGGGACGCTCAAAGAGGTGAGATGTGGGGTGTTAGCTGGAGTGGGGTGCTCACCCTCCGTGAGAAGCAGCTCAGAGGTCCATAGATGAGGCCATGCCTCCGTGAGAGGGTGTGACAGGTAGATGGGATGCATTTCAAAGGAATTGATGTTTTTAAGGAGGCAACACGGTTGAAAATTGGGAATATGGATTGAGGGATAAAAAAACGATAGCCTGTACCTGGGAGAGCTTGAGGGACTCCTTTCCTGGGGAGAGATGGCCTGGGAGGCGTGCGGGAAGCTGAGACACTTCGTGGAGCAGAGGTTGAGGATGGCAGGGAGACTGGGCCAGGGTGTGGCCAAGATAACCCAAGCTGTGATACAATGGATCAGCCCCCCCATTTCTCCTAGGAGCTGGGGGACCTCGGGCCTGCACCCCATCTATGCTTCATTTCCTCATCTGTCCCAATACAGACTGAAGCCGGCCTTGCTGGGTTGGCCTTAGTGTTGGGTGAGCCGGGGGCTGCAGCATGGGGCCCAGTGCTATCCACAGGCATACGCTCCAAGACCAGTGTGTGTCCTCCGCCTCCCATTCTATCAGCCCGCTTGTGGCCTTCCCACGGCACGGGGCCCAGGGTGCTGCAGCAACACCCTTTCTGGGCACCCGGTCAGAATCTACCCAGGTTATGGTGGAATGAGTTACATACACGCGTGCCTGGGCTCCTATTATCCTGAGCAGCGTTTTCTTCTGTTACCATAATTAGGTTAAAAAGGTATAAAGCTCCTTGCTATATGGTATGAATTTTTAAGCCAAGGTCATCTTTTTTGGAGGATGGGGGGCGGGGTAGCATTTCTTTCTCATCCTACAGGTCACAGCTTACATGTCACTCCTGCCAAGATAACTCTTTGGCTTAGCCCCACAGTTTTCAACTGGGGACCACCCTCAGTCCGGTGACATGTGGCCATATCTGGAGACATTTCTGGTTGTCACAACGGAAATGTGGAGGCCAGGGATGCTGTGAGCACCCTGCAGTGCACTGCACCCCAGAGTTATCCAGCCCCATGTCTCAGCAGTGCTGAGGCTGAGAACCCCTGGCCCGCCCTTGTCGAGTGGGTCCTGGGCCCCGTTATTCTTTATCCAACCCCTGCTCCCTCCTTCGCAGCACTTACTGTGGTCGGGACGGCTGACTTGGTCCTTTTATTGCCCATCTGCCTGGGTGTAAGTCCAGGACGGTGGGGTCTTCTCTCTCGTTCACTGCGTGTGCCCAGTGCCTGGCACAATGCCTGGTATATATTAGGTGCCCAGTGACGATCTGTTTTTGAGTGAAGGAATAGGAACCCGTAATGAGGATTTTTTTTTCTGTGTGGAGGTTTGATTCCACATCTCCAGTTTATACAGATCCGCCTCATGAGTCAAAATGGGATTTGGCTCCACTACAAATCGATCTTAGCCTAACGGGGTCCTGTCGTCCAGGAGAGCATGTGAGGTGCTGAGCGGCCTTTGTGGAAGTGTTTATAACATGTATGTGGAAAAGCTCACCTTCTCCTCAGCTGCTGCAAAATAACTGAGACAAAGAAATGGCGTAAACTGAGTAATTTATAAAATGTCACCATTTTATTTTGTCATTGTAAAGAGGCGTATGTTAACCAGATTGTAACAAAATTCCCACAGTTTATTCCAAAAGAAAATTTAATACAAGAGACTTTAGAAAATTAAACACATTTGTTTAAAAATTCTATCATGTAAACCTTAACATAAGAGGGTAGGCAGATAAACACTACATTTCTGCGCGAATCTGCAGCCGTCTGGGCCTCATTCACAGACAGACAGCAGACCAGCCTCGAATTGTGTCGCCTTTTCACCCCTGACAGACACTCACTGGGACCCAGTCGTGGGGACTCTGGCCAGGCCGAGGGCCTCCACGCTGGGATGACCTTGGCTCCTGCATTCAAAAGACCCCCTCCTCTCAGAAGGCAGTAGCTGAGGCGTGAAGCAGTGTTAATACCACACGGCCGTGCCAGTGCCAGGGATGGTGAAGCTAAGGCTGCAGAGGTACAGACATTCTTTCTGGGATGAATCCTAGATAATAAAAAACCCTCATTAGCTCCCCAACCCCTCACTCCTGGAAATGCATGTTCTCCGGGCTCATTTCTGGAGTAACTGGTGAGCAACTCTGGTTGCAAATGTACAAACCCGCGACCTTGTATCCTTCCATGTCCTCAGCCCCAGTTTCTGCAAGGGCACCCCCTGAGTGGTCTAGATTGATGGGGAAAGAACCGGCAAAGGGAAAAGGGTGGCCTCTCCGCTTGTAGTTCATGATGGCAGGAAGCAGACCTGATCGGACTCAAGGGGCAGGTGGCAGCCTGGGCAGGTCAGCTAGTGGTTTTCCAGTTATGATGGGAAAACATTCATGCACCAGTAAGAACTGAACCCCTGGACCTCAAAACACTAATGAATGCAGCATGTTCTTCTAGTGGGATGCCCATCCACACTGTAGGCTCTGCCATCTTTTAGAGAAAACAGATTTCTTTCCGAAGACACTGATTAGGTAGGTAATTAGGTCGTTAGGGTGTAGAGACAAAAGTGAGGGCTCTGTGGCAGAATTGAGAGGGACCCAAACCAGGCGCATACACGGGCCATGGCTCGTGGCTGGAAAGGGGAGAGGTCGCCACGATGCCCTGCGGGGTGACTGCGGGATGAGCAGACGGCGGGCTTGCTCGGAGCACGGAGCTCAGCGGTGCTCTGCCTTCCTTCCCAGCAACCCAGTAGCTGAAGTTCTATTTTAGAAACATAATCAAGACCACGTGTTCCAGAAGCAAGAAAACGAACTTTTTGGCATGGAAATGTTAGATAAAATATACAGTACCAAATTAACACAGAAGCCAATTTGAACAGCAAATACTTCATGTTAGCTTTAATGAAACAATGCACAATATTTTGAAAAAGGATCGTTGCAAAAGACATTGCTCAGAAGTAGATGCCTGCCTGCAGGAAGCACCCCTGCCTGCTGAGGACAGCCCACAGGCTGCGGAGACCGGCCAGCGTGTGCGGCCTCGTCCCCAGCGAAATGCCGAGGAAAGGTTAAGACAGTTACTGCCTGTGGGGTTGAAAACTGAGCATGGGGTGTGCCCCGTCCAGATGCCTCTGCGCCAGTCCGATGGGCAGCTGGGCCCCAGGGCAGGTCTTTCTCAGGCAGGTCCGGTCGTGCCCATCCCTCGCTACAGCCTGAAAAGCCAGCCTGTTTGTTGTCAGGTACACGCCAGCCGAGGCAGGATGATGGGTGAGTGCCTCACGGTGCTGGGCTGGGCAGGGAGAGGCTGTGGGATGGAGGACTCCAGGGGACTGGTTAGGAGGGTGTCTGCTGGGACCCCAGAGGGCAGGGCCCGGCCTCCACGCGAGGGCCAGCTGGCATCTCTGGGCTGCCACCCCCATGGGAAGGTGAGCGGGTGGGGTGGGGGGGGCCGAGTCCTGCAACCCTGTGACCTGGTCCTCAGGGGGGCAGACTGTCCCATGTGATACATACCAGGAGAAAAAAGAGGCCACTAGCGTGCCGGGCTGCAGCCCCGGTGCAGGGTTTGGGAGACGAGCAGTGCTGCGTCTGGTCCACGGGCCTGGCTGGCGGCGTTCGCTGCTGACTCCTGACCTGCACCCAGACCTGGGCGTTAATTCTTGGGCCTCCAGGGCCTGCTGCCTCTCGGCATTAGCTGCGCGGTCCGATGGATGTAAACAGCTCCCAGTGCCTCTGCTTTGTTACAGGCACGACACACAACCTGGCATGCTTGTAAAATTTCAGTGGTTCTCAAGGAACTCATCTGAATAAGCTCGGAGTGGGGAGCCAAGCCAGGTGCTGTAATCAGACCTTGTCCACAAGCCCTTCCCACATCCCTCGCTTGCGCTGTTCGTGCCTCTTGCTGGGTCTCACTAAATGGTATCATCTTTGCAACTTAGTCAGGTGACACCTATTGTAACCAGGGAGCCCTGGAACGTGCCTGGCTGTTGGCGGCCACCCTGGACATCGCGGTCCATGAAAGCCACCTCCTCCCCCAGGGCCTGACCGGACAAATGTGGGCTGTTTCAACCTTGGCTCAGCTCTCTGAGGTTGCTTGTCAGTAATGTGAGCAGTTGTGCCCGTGAATGAGGTTCTGAGAGCTGGAGCCAGCTGTGCCCAGCTGCAGTGGTGGCCTGACTGCAGGAGAGCTGGCTGACAAGGCTCGCTCCTGGGTCAGGAGTCGTTCCGGGCTGGGGTCACCCCAGCCGTGGACCCCCTTCCGGGGAGCTCTGGCTTCCTCTTAAGGACAGACACGTCCGCCAGCCCTGCTTGTCCTGGGGTTTGTTTCCTCGGGGGGATGAAGGAAGAAGCAAACAAGACCATGGCAGAGACAGATCCTGTTGATGTCTGCTGTTGCCAAAGCAGCCCGTGAGCAGACAGCCTGCCTTTAGTGATAAGACCTAGAATGGGGCCTTCCATCCAGTCCAGGTGTCCTCAAGGTCAAGGCCCTCTGGAGAGGCAGGCCCCTTTGGTTTCCCTCCGAAGAGGGAGAACTTCCTCTCTCAGCTACCAACTCTGGAGGCACCAGAGAACCTTCTAACAGGATCAGGAGATGGAAGCAACTTCAACTGGCTCTTTCTGCAGGGCCGTCTTCCCCTGATGGGCCCCAGGGGGCTGAGTGCGTACTGCGAGGCTCGGAACTGGACCCGGGTTGAAGGGCAGAGGAACGTCCAGAGCGGGTGGCATGTAGTTTATCAGCCCTCAGCCTGGACCTCGCGGGACCTGGGCACTTTGTCTTCTTTTGCCAGGACCTGGGGAGTCTTCCCTTCAAAGTGGGCCCACCACGCTGCAGAGCAGGGCCAGGGGTATTTGGGGTGGCTGGATGGACTACATCATTGTGCAACATTCTATGTGATTCCAAAGTTAAGGCTGTGACAAGTGGCTGTGATGAGCTCAAGTCAGAGCGGTGGTCTGCATGTTGAGGATGATTCCAGGGTTTCTGCATGATCACAAAAAAGGGGGTGCAAAGAGCAAGCACCCCAATGGTCCCTGTGTGGCCCCAGGAACCTGCTTTCACAGCCCATACTTTGGGAGAGCAGTGCATGGTTTCCGTGATTAATTTTTAAGAATCGCAGAGGCAGAGTTTCTCCTTTTTAAATACAGGCTGGGTGCGGCCTTGTTTCTCCCGGCTTGGCATCTGTCCCCTTGTAGCCCTGGGGGCCCTTTTTTTTTTGCTTTGTTTTTTAGCTCCCTGAAGGGGTGGTTGGAGGCAAGGCCAGATTCGCACTCAGAGGTGTGAGGTCAGGTGCCAGAAAAGGCTGGTTGATCAAAACTCTGGGCCCAGGGTCGGGGGACATCAGAGGTGGGTGGTTCCATTCTGTCTAACACAAACGGAAAGCGGGGGCTTTGGGGGCACGCTCCGCTGTCCAGACAGGCAGTGCTGGGCCAGCCTTGCTGCTGGGATCCAGGACCTGCTTCGGGAGGAGTGGGCGGGAGGCAGGCCTGGGGCAGCCTGGGCGCTGAGACAGTCTGATGATGTCCCGAGGAGGGCTCTGTGCCAAGCAGCCAGCCCCGGCGGCCCAGTCGGCCCTGTGGGACTTGGAATTGAACCGAAGTGCACGTGGAGCTGGGACCTTGGCAAACGAGGGAGAGCGGAACCATGCTGCCTTTCTGGGACGCAGCGTCCCTTGGGTCCTCTAAACCCCACGAGCTGACAGCAGGTCCTCTAGCCGCACACACCTGCTTCCAGCCGTAGAGGACAGACGGCAGGGTCCTTGGCTCGCCTGGCGGAGGTCCTCAGGCCTCCTCATGTCTCGGGGCTGTGCGCACATCACGTCAGCCTTGCCTCTCTGCCCTGAGTAAGCGTCCTCTGGCTAACGCAGCAGCCACCTTCCAGGCGACTCTCTCCAGTTTTTCTGTCTAGGAAATGTCCCGTGCTTACGCAGGCCGTTCCCCGAGCTTTAAGCTAATGATTTGAAACTGTTCCAGGGACAGCCCGTGGTTAGCCTTCCACTGACCATCTTTCACACACGTTTACGTCACCATCACATTCCCGACGTCTGTCTTCCTCGGGTCACACTTATCCTTACATAGATTTCACAACCTATCTAATTTTTGTAATATTTCCCCCAGAAAATGCCAGCTCTTCCTAAATGTACTCAGCAGCTGAGGATGGCTCTTGCCTAGGGTGGAGGGCTAGTCCATGATTCTGGATGCTAAACTGGCCGGACCACGCTGGGCCTGGGAGGCGGCCTGACCGGGGGCGTTGGAGGAGGAGCCTGTTGGAACCTGTCAGCAGGGCCTGTCCTGAGATGGCGCACGCAGGAATCAGTCTGGGGGCACAGTGGGTCCAACACACTGAGAGCATGTTGGGGGGCAGAGAGCGCCCTGCGAACCCATGTCTTTAGGGGACAGTCATGGTCTGTTCAGAGTGGATGCTGTCCAGGCTCACAGAGAGCCACGCTGAGGCCCATGGAGCTGGGAGCTAGGTCTGGAGGCCAAGGGCCTGCGGGACCTTCCGCAGCGGTTACAGAGCGGAGTGTCTCTCATGACCGTGAGGCCTCGTGGCTTGTGAGGCCAAGGCCATCGATTTCTTGGTGGCTTGGGGCGCTTGAGCATGGGGTCACCAGGTTGCTGCTGATAGCTGGCCTGGATGGGACAAAGACGCCTGGGGGGTCAGGGCGCCTCACGTCTCCTACACGGGCTGGTCCTTCCAGAAGCCAGTCGTGGGGAGGTCAGGGGCGGGGGGATGTGCTCCAACAACCACAGTTCAGCATCACGTAATGGCTCCTTCGCAGGAAGGCTGTGGGCTGTCTCCCTGGAGGAGCGACACACACAGCCACGGCTGGCCATGGTGGCGATGACGAGGGTGGACAACAAAAGGGGAAGGGAGAGGCCCCACCCCCACCCCCACCCCACGTGGCCATAAGTTGTAGTAGGCAATAACGTTAGAAAGAAAGAGTGTAACAGTCATTCTGATCCCCTCGTGGGAAAGAGTCAAGCGGTTGTTTCTGAGTGAACCTTCTGACGGAGAGAAATACTGGAGTTGTGCAGCTCAACCGGGGCTCCAGCCCCGCCTGTGCCCGCCCTCCTGCTGGCCCCTGGGCTGGAGGAAGGGGACGAACGATGCTTGCCACTCAGGGCAGAGCCTGGGAGGGCAGTGCCCACGTGTCCGGGCGAGGAGCGCCTTGCTCTCTGACTGACCAGTTTAATCGGGGTGTCATGTGACCGGGGAAGGTGTGCTCTCGGGGTTAACCAGCTGGATGTGGTTGTCATTCCAAGGTGTGAGGGGCCAGCCGCCGTGGCCAGATTGGATGCAGAGTGGCCGGAGAGGCAGCTGGCGCAGCACATAGGGCCCGAGTCTGGGTTCCATCGAGGTCAGAGGTCGCCACTCTGGGGCTCCACGTTGCGCGTCGTCTCCCTGGGGTGACTGCGGGACAGCTTGGGGAAGCGGGAAGGCGCTTTGGGCCGGCTGCTTTTGTTCAGTGGCTCTCCAGGAGGGGTAATGTCACTGCAAGGCAGAGCAGGGAGAATCTGGTTACGTCAGGGTTCCAAACACAAACACAGGTGGGACAAGGAGCCGGGTGGTCAGAGGGGACGGGGGCTGCCCAGCTCTGACCAGTGAGTGTAACATGGAGAAATGGGAAATCCATAGTTATGTAAACATTCTGTTTCAAAAGCTCCCACCATGAGCTGTGGGTCCAAGCAGCTTGTGGGGCTACCAGTTCCAGACCCTATTTTAAGGCTGTGAAGGAAGGTACTAGCCATGGCTTTCTCCCCCCATTTTCACTGATCTACCAGCAAAGGCACATTTCAAAGTCAAAGGAATGAAAATGCTTTGGAGAATACTGCATATAAAGTCATAAAAGATGGGCAGAGCAAATACAGGGCGGGGGCTTCTTGTGGAATTCATCCTGAGAGAAGATTCAGGATGGGTGCCCACGTCTGATTCTAAGGGCATTATTCACAGTGTGGGCGAAAGAGCCAGAAACGGGGTCACGGCCCGGTTATAAAACCTACGTGACAGGAAGCCACTGAAGACAACAAAGTAGGTAAAGCCGTGTGATGAGAACATGGGTTGAGATGAAGTCACCCTGCCACATGTAGGCCAAGGCTAAAGGCTGTGCTTGCTCACGCCTTCGTCCTGTGGAGCTTTCCGGGCACACACATGGCCCAGCACTGGGTATAAAAGTGATCAAAACAGCCTCCCAGGCCCCGTGGAGCTCACAGTCACAGGTGGGCTGGGGGTGAGAAAGTGTCATGTATTATAAAAATTTAGGTCACCAATGCCCCCAGAGTGTCCCTGAGAGGCAAGCCTGAGGCTGCTGCTTGAAGGATGGCAGGGAATGCCCTGCGAGGGGGGACGAGGGGGTGGGCTGAGGGCATGGCCCGGGAGAGGACACTGGAGCTGCGCCCTGCGGCAGAGGACTTCCCGATCTGGTTGCATCTGGTGGCCTCTGCCTGCTGGGTGGACAGTGGACTGGAGGGGCTGGTGCTCTGGGCCCTGGGAGCACGTGCAGAAGCCCGTGCTGTGCTGTGAATGCAGAGCTGGTGAATTCTGGCTTGTTTCTTAGGGCTGCTGTAACACTGCCACACTCTTAGCGGCTTAAGACAACACAGAGGCACTGTCCTATGGTTCTGGAGGCCAGCTGTCCAAAGGGGGGTCTTCCAGGGATAATGTCAAGGTGTCGGCCAGGCTGGTTCCTCCTGGCGACTTCAGGGGAAAAGCTGTTTCCTGGCCTTTTCCAGCCACTAGAGGCTGTGGTCCCGCCACCTGGGAAGCCAGCAGTGTGGCATCTTCACATCTTTCTCTCTCCCTCTGGCAGAGACCCCTGTGATCACAGGGGCCTGCCTGGGTCATCTCCCTTTTTCCAAGACCCTTAATCACATCTGCAAAATCCCCTTTGCCATGTGAGGGGACACGTCCACGAGTTTCAGGGATTAGGGTGTGGACATTTGGGGGATCATTATTCTGTCTATCATAGACTGAGATGTTTTTCACGATCTTTACTTTTAACTTTGTGTCACTGAACAGCCGACTATCCAGTGAGCCTTCGTGAATCTTTTGGTTTGAATGGCTGTACAGTACAGCAAAGTAGTTCATTGGTCGCCTAGGTGCTAACATGTGCATTTTCTTTTAAAAACAATTTTTCAACTACAGTTGACACACCATATTATGTTGGTTTCAAGTGAACAACATAGTGGTCCGACATTTATATAACTTACGAAGTGATCACCCGCTAAGCCTAGTACCCATCTGACTCCATATAGTTACTACAGTGTTACTGACTCTGTTCCCTGTGCTGTAGTTCACATCCCCGTGACTATTTTGTAACTATTTTGTAACAGCCAGTTTGTACTTCTCAATCCCTTCACCCTTTCCACCCAGCCCCCCCAACCCCCCTCCCATCTGAACCATCAGTACTCTGTATCTATGAGTTTGTTTCTGTTTTGTTTGTTCATTTATTCTGTTCTTTAGATTCCACACATAAGTGAGATCATACAGTATTTGTCTTTCTCTGACTTATTTCACTTAGCATAATGCCCTCTAGGTCCATCCATGTCACATATGATAAGATTTCGTTCCTTTTTATGGCTGAGTAATATTCCATTGTATCTATGCACCACCTATTCTTTATGCATTCATCTATTGATGGACACGTAGGTTGCTTCCATATCTTGGCTACTGTAAGTAATGCTGCAGTGAACACAATGAAAGATATATATCTTTTTGAATTAGGGTTTTGGATTTCTTCAGATAAATACCCAGGAGTGGAAGGGCTGGATCATAAGGTAGTTCTATTTCTAATTTTTTGAGGAACCTCCATACTGTTTTCCATAGTGGCTGCACCAATTTACAATCCCACCAACAGTGCACGAGGGTTCCCCTTTCTCCACATCCTCGCCAACACTTGTTTGTTGATTTATTGATGATGGCCATTCTGACAGGTGTGAGGTGATATCTCATTGTGGTTTTCATTTGCATTTGTCTGATGAGTAGTGATGTTGAATATCTTTCTTTTGGCCATCTGTCCTCTTTGGAGAAATGTCTATTCAGGTCCTCTGCCCATTTTTAATTGGATTGTCTTTTTGGTGTTAAAAGACATTAACCCCTTATCAGATGTATCATTAGCAAATATCTTCTCCCATTCATTAGGCTGTCTTTTCATTTTGTTGATAGCTTCCTTTGCTGCAGACTGAGATTTGAATAGGAAGTTAAATGGTGAGATTACAGCGGATAGAAAATATCACCGAGAAATAAGAAAAATCTTGTATAATAAATGTCTTACTGGTCCAAAATGTTTTTTAAAAACACATCTAAGATTACGGCTCACTCTCATGTCCTGTGTGGCTTCGGCTCCAGCCAGGGCCTTCCTAGATGTGAGTGCTGGGCCACCCTGGACCCTGCAGGACACACAGAGGCCCCGGGAGGACCAAGGCCACTCGGTCAGTAAGTGGCGGACCTGGGATGGGCCAAGCCCAGTCCAAGTGAGTTAGAGAATGAGTCACACTCAAAAAGAAACCACATCCCCACCCCCAGGGGTCCCTGCAGGGCTCCTAAAATATCCCCATTGGTCCCTGTCCCTCAGGATCGGTTCTGTTTAGATGCTCTGATTTCTACACCTCTGCAGGGACACTCTGCTTGGTGTCAAGTTCAGGGTGTTGAGTTCAGGGTGATATCTCGATAAGATGACAAAATGCAAAAGCCCTCTGATTGTGGCTTTCTCCCTTGGGAGTCTGGGTGTGCTTTGTTCTCTGTGCCTGGAGGGAAAGGGGGCATCTGACCTTGAACAAAGCGGGAGCCACCCCTATGCATTTCTGCAGCCAGTCCAGCTGCGTTGCTGCTCGGCCCTCCTTCAGAACGGCGTCTGGCCGTGTGCACAGAGCACACGGGACCCTATCTTCTTTCAACACCTGTGTGGCCAGAGCCTCTTTACCCCTGCACGCCCCTTACAGGATGGGTAGAAGATGCTGGGAGGGCTCTCTGCTCACATTGTACAGGTGGGCTTGGATGTCAACGTCATTGTACCCTAACCCCGCCCCTCACGCTGGAGGTTCAGCTGGCCGCCCCAAGCCTGTGGCCACTGCCATCACCGGGTATGACATGCGAGGCCAGGATGGGCCCTGCTTGCAATGACCAGAGCCGGTGGGGCCCCCAAGTAAATAAGGGGCTCTTAGGAGGGAAGCAGCGGGGTCAGGACAGCAGCCACTTCATTTCATTTTTCAACAAGCGGCAATGACTGTGGGGAGGCAGCCTAGTGCTGGGCGTCAGGACGGGCGCCAAGCCAGGACACCCGCCTGCAGTCCTGGTCCTGCCACCAGGTCCTGTGCACCTCACTGTCTCGGAGCCTCATTCCCTTGTGTGTCACAGGATTGATGATCATATGGTCCTCACGGTGCCATGGTAAGGACTTGAGGGTCACTTACTAGCTGCGTTTCCTCAGACGAGTGCCCTGTCGTCTCCGAGCCTCAGCGTCCCGGGTATAATAAAGGTAGGGTTATTTTGAGCGTTATGTGGATAAAGTGCCTAGGCCAATGCCTGGCTAGGGTAACCACTTAAAAGATGGGAGCTGTGTTGGCAGAATGCTAGAATGCTGGCATTGAGGGGTGCAGTCTGAGGAGCCCACAGTCTCGTTGGGGAGTGGGCAGAGCAGACCCTGGGGCAGGTCGCTACAGTGGGGCATGGTAGCCGCTTCAATGTGGGTCAACACGGTGTTGTGAGCAGAAGTGAGAGTCCGGGTCACCATGAGAAGGGCCCTGTAGCTTTGAGAAGAGCACACGGGAAGGCAGTGTGGGCTCGGAGCGCGGCAGATGTGGGCCCGCTCCTCACCCCCATGGAAGGCAGGCTTTCCCCGCGAGTGGAGTGAGAAGTCACTGACATGATGTCTGTCAAGCGCCCATGCCTGGTCCCTGGGGATGCCCAGTGAGTGTCGGCTGCTGTGGCTGAGGGCATGGGGTGAGCACAGTGGGTACGGGGGTGGTGATAGCCCATCAGAGAGGGAGTAGGCCTGGGTGAGCTGGAGACAGCTCGGTCCTAAAGGCCACAGAAGGCAGTGACAAGGAGCTAAGCCACCTTGGTGGCTGGGTGGCACTGGGGCAGGGGCTATTGTAACACTTCCCATAAACTCAGTAGAGTGGATGGTGGTGAGGCCACTGGGTGAGGAGCTTAGCTGGGGACAAGCTGAGCAGGTGACAGCTCTAGAAGAGCCGGCTGGGGCAGGAGGCTTCCATAACTACTGGATGGATGGATCGATAATGAAAAGGCAGCTGGTTCTGTTGAAAGACCTGAGCCGGAGTGGAGAGAGCGAGGAGTCACTGGCATACATGAGGCCAAACCACACAGAACGGCCATTTTCCAGGTCAAAAACCGTCTCATAGTTTCATGTACCTGTCGGCCATTTGCATGTCTTCTTTGGATAAATGTCTCTTCAAGTCCTTAGTCTAGTTTTTAACCAGGGAAATGCAAATCAAAACCACAGTCATACTACCTCACACCTGTCAAGATGGCTA